CCCCAAAACCCCAAAACCCCAAAACCCCATTTCAAGTTCTCCAGATTGACTTATTTATGATTATATAAAACAATATGTTCAAACTTTTAGGTTGCTAAAGGATCAGGCCCTTAGCAGCAGCTGATATATTTTTATAAGATTTTGTAAATTTAGGCTGGTTTTTGCGCATATTACTGAAAGCAAGCTTAGCCAAAGCAACCTTGTTCATTTTACGCTTCTGGAAAAATTTGAATTTCGATTTCTTATCTTCCTTCTTTCTCTGTTCACGAAGACCTATTGGAGTTATGAGTGGACTATACGGTTTTTGAAGTACTCGACAATGTCTTTATTTGATATCCTGATTCCTAGAAATTAAGCCTGAGGTCCTTACTCTTCATTGTTAGTAGAAATCATCTCAGTCTTTTTGAAGCAAGAGCTACTCTTGCTCTTGAAATAGTGAGGTTCTGCAAGATGATCGTGAGTAGCCGAATTAGGTTCTTGTAAATGATTGCGAGACTTAAAGCTTCTAAATCTCAATCTTCCTTTGATCTATAGAAAATTGTCAGACTAGCCTGGACAATCAATTGGTTTAATAGAATCTGTTCTGGGTCTCCCGGAACGAATCTTTAATAACTTACAGAGCTCTGTCTTTGTTCGTGAGAGTCTATTCCTCGGTCATCGTGCTTTTGAGATCCTATGTTTGAATACCGAGAGGATTCATTCAAAGCCTGGATGGTCTTCGTGGATCCACTATTTGCAGACCCTATAATTTTACACCTTAAAAGTACCTTTAGAGGAAGAAAAATCTTGGTGGGAGATTGGAGGTAAGAGGAAGGTCTGTTTTAGTTTCTTCTTGACTGGTAAATTAAAATTTTTCCTGATCCTCTTCTTCACTCCTTTAATTGATGATGAAATTATGTTCTTTTTCCTTGATAAAGTGTCTGCCTATATCTCAAAATTAGTTTAAAGAAGGAGCAAAAGTGAGCCTTAAAAATTTTAAATGGAACGTGAAAGGAAAATCTTTACCACCGAAAACATCTATGAAATTATAAGAATCTAAGCTTCTCAGTTTTATGACCCTTCATAAGCATCTTAAAGTAGATAGGCTCTGTTCAATGTAGAAACAGAGACTAACAAGAATAAACCATTGCAATATTTTTACATAACTTTTCTTAAAAATCCCTTCATCAATGACCTAATATATGCCCAAAAATACAAACTTCTATGAAATTTCTTCACCCACAAGATTATTTCGCAGTATAATCATGCTGTTTATAGATCCTTATTTGGATTTCTCAGAAGGAGAAGGGCCTCATTTAGTATCTAAAGCTGCACACAAAGATATGGTGCCAGGGTCATGATTCCGTGCAATTTTCAATCGAAATTTCAGGGTGTAAAATACTTTCAGAGAGGCTCTTTAACCATAAATTTTAGTCAGAGGTTGCTCAAATTCTTGGAATGAGGAGAAAGCCAATAGGAATATTACAAGATCTAAGACTCTAACTTTGAAATTGGGAAGAAAGCACTATTGATGAAGAGTCCCTTAGCCTACCGAAAACTGTAAGAGAGCGAAGCCATACCTCTCCAGGTTTATTTAGGCTAATTCCTTAAACGAGATTTCATGATTGGATTTTTACAACTTCATACTAGGATGTATGCATCAGGAAATGGTTTATCTTCTGAGAAATTTTCCCTTTGAGGAATAAAAACCCTGATGCTTCGTGAATGCTGAGGAAAATCTCAGTAAAAGTTTAAGTTAAGATTCGATAATTAGGCATTCTTGGCAAGATTTAAGGGAAAGATCAGTATCTTATACCAACCGAAGAAGATTACTACGCTTCTCTTACCAAACAGTTTCGAAGAGATAAAATGGTAGCATCAGAAATTTAGAAAAATACAGTATAAAAATCCTTAAAATTTATTACAGTTTAAGAAAATGTTCAAAATGGGATGTCAGTAAAGGACCTGCAGCCAAACCTTATAGCTTCAGAGTAAAGTGCATGAGAAGTTACTGGAATCCTAAATTGTAACGGCCTCGTGTACAATACCAGACCTCTCCGTTGTTAAGATTATCAACCAAGGTAATATTTTAAAGTTTTATTTGGTTCGGAGATAATAAACAAACGAACTCAATAAGGACTACTAAGGGTGATTAAGGTATTGTAAGAGTGACATAAAAAGCTTAGTTGGGCCTTCTAAGAATGTTAACATTCAGCCCAACTCATCTCGGAAAGTTTATATAAAAGATGTTTTAATTTTTAGGTGAATTACCTGCTGAGATCTATCTGAATCGATAATTTCAAACTCTCTAGTGCTCAGTTTTATGATCTTAGATGAAACATTTTTAATCGGTATGCCTACTGATATCCTATAAAAACTCTGAGGGAAAGTAATACTTTATTTGGAAGAAAGTTAGTTATACTTATTTAACAAATTTTACGAGTATTTTAAATAACTTCATGTATCACTTTGATAAGACCCTGCAGGGGTCTTATCAAAGTGATAGGAAGAAGCTCAAAATGTTAATAAACTCTTCAAAAGTGCATAGCCTGGCTATTTTATAACATTATAATCAGCATGTTTTAAAAATAAGAAGGACTCTACCTGTGGACGTCACTAACTTCCTCAATAGGAGTCTTGTTCCAGATTTTCAATAGTCTATACATTATGTAGATAATTTTTGTTGATGAAATTATTGGATTTCGATTCTATGAAGTAGTAGATAAATGAGGGATATCATAGATGAATTTAGGCAATGTTTCCTACCCAAAGGGTAGGAAACATTACACTAATTTTTCTATGTAACCTCTCAGGCTCATTAGCTAGATCGTATACCTCAAAATAGAAGGATTTTGTGATGAATTATGCTTCGAATGCAGCCCTTTTGACATTCTCTATTTGCCAATAATTTTATAATTCATTGTCTTAGAATCTGAAGGGGTTTTGGGGTTTTGGGGTTTTGGGGTTTTGGGG